TATATATAGTTCTGTGAATAGTCTTAAGAATTAAACTGTAGAATGGAGGGAGACATCTATGTTGTTGTCTAGTACCAGAATAATTGGTTTAAATTACTACATATTGGGTATGTATTTTCATTGTTTCTTTTAAAATACATGCATTCTGCTGGGCATGGTGGCACACACCTTTAATCCCAGCACTCAGGAGGCAGAGGCAGGTGGATCTCTGTGAGTTTGAGGCCAGCCTGGTCTACATAGTGAGTTCCAGGCCAGCTGAGGCTACTGGGAGGCCCTATCTCAAAAAGACCAAAAAAAAAAAAAAAGAACATGTATTCTTGGGGCTGGAGAGCTGACTCAGCAGTTAAGAGCACCCACTGCTCTTGCAGAAGACCGAGGTTTGGTTCCCAGCACTCACATGGTGGCTAACAACTGTCCATAACTCTAATTCCAGGGAATCTGATGCCCTCTTCTGACTTCCATGGGTATTGCATGACACGGGTGCACTTAGATACATGCAGGCAATATGCTCATACATACAAAAAATAAAAATAGTAAATATAAAATTAATAATATAAAATCTATGCATTTCAGCAGACAATGAGATGTCTTAGTGGATAGAGGTACTTGCTTTCAAGCCTGATGATCCATGTTTAGTTCCCTGAACCCACAAAAAGGTGAAAGGAGAGAAACGATTCCACAAAGTTGTCCTCTACACTCATTCTGTGGCACATGTACCACTCCCCCGTACACATAGACACACGTGATAATAAATAAAAAATTTTAAATATATATACATTCCCTTTAACTTTGAAAATGATAACAAATGGTAGGTATAATCTTAATACATAAATATTTTCTTATAAAGTTTTGTTTTATGCTTATATCTAAATGGGATTTCTATATTTTTTTGGTTTTGTTTGTTTGTTTACAGGGTCTCCCTAGTCCCAGCCTGCCTGGAAGTCACAATGTGGACCAGGGTGGCCTCTTATCTTGAAGAGATCCACCTACCTCTGCCTGGCAAGGGCTGGGATTAAAGGCACATGCCACCATGCCTGGTGTATATTTTATGTATTTTATATATTTTATATATTTATATTACATATGTTGGAAGGGTAGTAACAAGGGTTTTGGACATTATGGCATTTTCTCAATCTTAGACTTTGCTTGAGAGGAACACTTTCAGTTCATACTCATCCCTTCCCTTTGGTTTTTTGTTTTTATTCTTTTTCTAGAGGACAGCTTGACAGCGCAGCCTATCTGGACAAAATCCAAAAGTTCTTGGAATCCATACAGAAAGAAAAAGGTTCTTTAAGCAAACTTCAAATGGAATGGGGAAGTTTATCAAACCACCTTACGGCCACAGATAAGAAGCTGTTAGAAAGCCAGATGAAGCGACTTGAACTTGGTTGGGAACAAGGGGAACACCTGCTTCACAGGAAATATTCTCAGCAGGTGATGGAGCATGATGAGCTTACCTACCTCCTGAAGAAGGTCCAAGACACCAAGCTTTCTCTGCAGCAGCAGCAGCAGCAGCTACGGCTATGTCTGGACTCTCAAGAACAACAGGACGGGAGCTCCGGTGTCGTTGCCTTGGCCACAGAGCTCCAGGTGCTCAAGCTCGGATTTTCTGTTTTAAAGGGGCAAGCTGAGCTTCAGATGAGGAGGCTTTGGGGAGAAAAGGAAAAGAAGATTTTAGAAGATGCAATAAGAAATTTGAAGGAGCAACTAGAAACCCTGGAACCAGTAAACTTAGAGGCAGAGAATCAGATTCAGAAGTGTGGCTTAAAGAACAAGATAAAGGAGACTCTCTTATGGGTCAAGAACATGTTGGCCGAGCTCATAACCCCCATTGCCCTTCTCCCCAGTGACATCCTTTCACAGATCAGAAAGTGCAAGGCGATTCATGATAACATTCTGGGTAAGCAGCAGGTCGTGGAGTCCCTGGTAGAGGAGGTTGGAAGGATGACTCCTGGCCTTCCAGCTTGCGAGAGAGATGATTTGCATACCCTTCTGCAGGGCTTGCAGGATCAATACCAAATGCTGGTTTTAAAATCAGCTCAGAGGTCACAGCAACTAGAATTGAAGTTGGAAGAAAGAAACAAATTTTTGGAAATAATAGCAAAGGCTCAGCTCATGCTTGAACAAAATGAAGCACTCACAATTCCAAAGCAAACGACCTCTACGGAAGCCGAGCTGGAGCATTGCAAGGTCACCTTGAAGGCCTCCCAGCAGGAACTACAAGACATTGAAAACCTAATCTCAACACATCTTCAGGAACTAACAGATGCCTACAAGGATGCAAATGTGTTTGAGAGATTATTTCTGGATGATCAGTTAAAAAATCTCAAGACAAGGACCAATAGAACACAAAGATTGGTTCAGAATAACTGTAATGGACTAGAACGCAAGGTAAATTCTTACAGAGAATTCCACAACAAAATGTCCCTGCTTCAGAAGGAGGCTGACGTCATCCAGCAGGGCTCATGCCTTCTGCTTAATCAGGAGCTAAATCCAAATGCTGAAGAGGAGCTTCACAGTCTTAAAGACAAGTTCGCTGCTGTTCAAGACAGCATCTTGCAGGTGTTGAAACTTCAAGAAGTATTTGACTGTATGGGGCTCAACTGGGATGGTTCACAGCTTGAACGATTACAAACCCAGGTATCTGAAAAAGAAAGGGAACTGGAAGAGAAAATTAAGCAGTTGCACACATTTGTGTCAGAACATGACAGCTACCAAGCATCGCTAAGCAAGATGAGGGCTGTGGATCTGCAAATTAAGAAACAGGCTGAATTACTACTGAAAGGCCCTCATGTTTCACCAGAAAGCACTCTGCTCAATGCACACATTTTGAGTCAGAAAATCAAAAACGCCAGAGGCTTATATGATGAGATGATGGAGAAATTAAATGAAAATGAGGCTTTTGATGACTCATTCAAAGAGAAAGAAATGTTACAGCTAAAACTAAATGCAGAAGGAAATGATAAGCTTCATGGGGTTCTCCAAAACATGGTGCTAGAGTTGCAACCAAAAGAAATGAGGGAAAAGGATTTTCAAAATAAGCTGGAAAATTCCCTATATGTTTTAAATCAAATGAAATCTCATTTACAGCAGCCTTTAAGTATAAATTTGGAAATTAAGCATATTCAGAGTGAGAAAGATACTTGTGAAGCATTTAGGGAGCAAATTCAGGCAGAAATGTTTAGTGTTAAAGCTGTGCCTGTTACCAAAGAGCAAGAAGAAAACTCGGAAACTAGTGGTGTGGAGGCAAAATTGCATGACATCGAAGATCTTCAGATGCAGCTTAGCAACAGCATTGATTTACGCACAGTAAGTTGTGTTTTAAATTGGGCATTTAATGCATCTATTTTTATTGGTTGTTTTGCTCTAGTTAATACCAGTATTACCAGTATTTCTGGTATTAACAGGCTCTACAGGAGAATTCCCTGCAATGATCCACTTTATCATGCTGACACTTTCCATATCAAAATTCAGTGTCTTGCAAATTTGGAAAAAGATAAAGCTGACAACTTTGTTTCCCTCCTAACTCCTATTGAATTCAGAACAATTTGTCTTTAGTGATAGTAAGATATGGTAGATGTGTGGTATAGAAAGAAGGTCACCAAAGGACAACTAATGTTTATTTAGAACTTATAATGTGCTAGAGACAGCACTGAATGCTATATTTAATCTCCAGCAGCTCTGGGTATGGCAGGGCAGGGGTGGGAGGCTGCTTTTCTTAACCCCATTTAGTGGAAATTTGAGGGCTAGGAGTGTGGCTCGTTGATAGAATGCATGTACAAGGCCTCAGGGTCAATTCCCAACCCCAAAAAAAAAAAAAAAAAAAAAAAAAAAAAGATTAGAATGAGAATATTGAATCTCAGAAACATAAAGATCTTTCTCTGAGTCTGAGCAGTGGTAGAACCGGGATTCGGATTGAGATTTGTCTAAATCTAAAGCAGGCATCCTCAAATTTTAAGACCCATGGGCTAAATCTGCCCAGTGTCTGGTCTATAAATAAAGTTTTATTGGGACACAGCCAGGCCCATTACTTATGTAGTGCCTGTGGCTGGTGCTTGCTGCAACAACAAAGCCAAGTAGCTCTGATCTTTGGCTGGGTTCTGTTTGCTGTGACTCCTGCACACTCCTTCTTCCCTCTGATGGTAGTAGCATGGGGATCTCAGGCATCATCTCAGGGCACCGTAGTTGATGCCTTACCTACACTTGTCAGGCTTGTCACCTTCAATCTATAGAATGGGGAAATCCACTTTAATTCAGAGAGTTAGTACTAGACAGTATATTTGGAATACTTTGAGAGATATAAATGCTACAGAAATGTAAAGTGATAGCTATGGTAAATCCTAGTATGCTGCTTAAAAAATGTGTGAGAAAAGCTGAATAATTCTGTTACCTCTTTTGGTTTTAGTAGTTTCAAGAAACACTTCAAATAATTTGATTACAGCTGGGCAGGAAGGGACCTTTAAATTCGTTTGTTATTTTAATGACAAGACTGAGATCTAGGGACATCTGATGCTGTACCTGAACTGAAGTTAGTGACAGTTGCTGTTCATGTAAAATATGAGAGATCTGGCTTTTTGGCTGTTCTAATTTGTTCATAGATATTAAGATTATGTACATTATATACATTGCTTTATTTACTAGAGTGGGAATAGATATGTATACACTTATCAATAGACAAGATTAATGAGATGTTATTTTAAATTAAAATTAGATTTCTTAGAAAACATGGAAACAGAAGCTGGAGGGATGTATCAGCAGTTAGCGCTTACTGCTCTTGCGGAGAATCCCGACTCAGTTCCCAGCACCCACATGGTGGCTAACAATTGTCTCTAACTCCAGTTCCAGGAAATCTGACTTCTGCAGGCTTTAGGAATGCATGTGGTACACATCCATCCATCCATCCATTTATACATGCTTGCAGGCAAATACTTATAAAATAAAAATAACACTTTTTTAAAAATATGGAAATTTTTCTTTATACAAAAGTAATTTTGTGTGGTTTTTTTTTTTGTTTGCTTGTTTTTGTTGTTTTGTTTTGGTTTTGGTTTTGTTTTTTTGAGACGGGGTCTCGCTTGTAGCTCCAGCCTGGAACTCACTATGTAGACTTGCTGGCCTCCATCTCATAGAGGTTTGCTGTCTCTGCCTCCAGAGTACTGGGATTAAGACATGTACCACCATACCCAGCCACTCATTTTTAAATGTTAGTATAAATAAATCTCTTATGCAATTCAGAGCCATGATGGTACCACCAAAAAAAAAAAAAAAAAAGTGAGAATGACAAAAATCCCAACAGTTTGGCAGTTTTGTCACTGCATCTAATCTCCTTCTCACTAGAATGCCCTGAACAGTGCACACGAAAATATAACCCGCTATAATGAGGTCGTCACCAGGGCAGTCCAGATCATCAGATCCCTGGAAACCATCCTTCCATCATACACAGTAAACCTTCACAGTCCCGAAGAATCTCTGGAGCTGCCTCGTGGTAAGCAAGAAGAATTGGAGTCCTCAATAGCAGACATCCGGGACCTCACTGAGAAGCTGGGAGCTGTCGCCAGTCCTGAGACCAGAGTACAACTTGAGAGCACGCTTCAAGAACTGGCTGCTAAGACCTCAGTCTTGAAGGCAGCAGTCGAAGCTGAGGGAGCAGAAGTAGAAAGGTAGGTTGCCTTTCTTCTAAATGCAATCTTTTAAGGATATAAAATACGCATTTCTTTCCTTTGTAATTAATATGTGCTTTAGAGATCATTTGAATAATACGAGAAAGTGAGAAAAAAGTTCATTGGGGCTGGAGAGATGGCGTAGCAGTTGAGATTGATTTTTTTTTTTTTTCCTCTTCCAGAGGACCCAATTCTAGGCACCATGTATGGTGGTTCACCACTGCCTGTGGGCTCTAGCTCCAGAGGATCCAAAGCCCTTTTCTGGCCTCCAAGGGGAGGCAGACAGACAAACACCCCCCCATATATATATATATATATATATATATGTAAACATTTATTTAAAATAAATCTTTTCAAAAGGAAAACCAAGATAAATGTTTTATTATATTTTAATTTTGTCTTTTAATTTTGGTATGTATTGTTTATAAAAGTATGTAGGACAGTGTAAAGAGTGATGATAAAGCAAACATCTTTATAACCAAAATGTCAAAGATAAACCAAGTTAACTGAATTCTCTCATGTGTTCCTTCCCCCCACCTCAGGAATAACCATTATCCTAAAATTTTTGTTTGCCATTTTCTTGCTTTTTATTGTGTTCTTACTGTTTGTGTATTTTTATTATTTTCATTCTCTTATTGTATCACTTCCTTTATTTTCAAACTCAGCACTGTGACCCTAAGGTTTATTCACATTCTTGTCGGTGGTAAAATTTGTATTTAGCTATTGATGGACGTTGGATTGTTTCCGGGATTTTGCATTCAACAGCAGCACTACTGGGAACGTTTTGAAGTACAAGAGCCTTACTTGCCATATACAAGTGTGGGATAGCCCAGGTCAAGGGTATGCAATGCATGAATTTTTAGTGCTAAATAGTGTGACCAATTTCCACTTAAACCAGCTACATGCAAATATTCCAGTTGCCTCTCTCCTTGCTAACACTTAATATTAAAGAGTAAGGGAGGGCTGGGAGAAACTTCAGCAGGTGGGAGTGTTTGCTGTGTAAACATGAGGACCTGAGTTCAAATCCCCAGCACCCATGTAAAAAGTTGGTGTGGCCATGCCTGGGCCTATAACCCCCGCACTTTGGAAGGTACAGCCAGGTGGATTGCTGGGGCCAGCCTAGCTCCAGGTTTGGTGAGAGTGGTCCCTGTCCCAAGAGAGTAAGATGGAAAGTGATTGAGGAAGCCACTGAATGTTCACCTGTGGCCTCCACATGCTCACACACATACACGTATGGATCATGCACACGTGGACACATACATATACCACACACACAGAGTAGGAAGTGGTGTGTCATTTATTTGTTTTATTTTTGTTTTGAGGTTACTCTCAAATTCGCTATGTAGGCCAAGGTGACCTCAGACTCATGGCAATCCTCCTACTTTGGCTTTCCAAGTTCAAGTGCTAGGATTTCAGGTGTCAGCCTCTATGCCTGTCTCGTAGTAGTGTTAATCTGCACTTCTATGGATGCCGCTGTGTTTGATTTCTGTTGAATGATTATTGGTAATTCATATTTCTTTTACCTCACTTTGTTGGGTTGTTAGATATTTTCCGCATTGGCTGGTAGGATTTTTATTTCATGTTTTTAAAGATTTTAAAAAAAAGTTTTTGTGTGTTTGTGTATTTGTGTGTGTGTGGGTGGGTGTGGGTGTGTATGTAGTGGGAGGGGGTCTAAGAAGGTCAGAAGAGGGTGTCAGATTCCTGAAGCTAGAATTATAGGTGGTTGTAAATTCCTGATGTGGGTGCTGGCAACCAAATTTGTGTCCTCTAAAGGAACAGTAAGTACTCTGTTGTTGTTGTTGTTGTTTTTGTAGCCCCAGCTGGCCTGAACTGGCTATGTAAACCAAGCTGGACTCAAACTCACAGAGATCCACCTGCCTCTGCCTCCCAAGTGGTGGGATTAAAGGTGTGCGCCACCACACCCCACATGAGCAGCAAGTACTCTTAACCACTGAGCCATCTCTCCAGCCTGAGTAGTCCTTGATAGTTAAACTCAAATGTCTTTCTGGCGGGGTTTTCCCATTAGACACCCATCCTGGGTTAGCTTGAGGCTTCACCATCTGTCCCTCATGTTCTAGGAAGAAACAAAGAGAAGAGAAGCTCTGCAGATACCCTCAAGGTGTAAAACGGGCGACATCTTTGCTTATTTATATGTATTTCCACTTTGCAGTTTGTATCCTTGATTCTTAGTTAGTTCACTGAGAGTTTTAAAAAATATTTTGTTTATTATTTTTATTTTATGTATATGAGTATATTGCCTGGAGTTACAGACAGTTGTTAGCCGCCATGTGGGTGCTGGAAACTGAACCCAGGTCCTCTGCAAGAGCAGCCAGTTTTCTTAACTGCTGAGCCATCTCTCCAACTCCTCATTAGGATTTTTTGTTTTAAAGTACCTATTACAGATTTAGTTTTATTTTTGTGCTGGGGATTAAACCCAAGGTCATAATGTGTTAGGAGAGTGCTGCACTGCACTTCAGCCCTGGAACAGAGTTTTAAATTGTTCAGGGGGAATTTAGGCCATGTGTACTCAGTACATGTAAACTCATAGTGTATTTATTTATTTATTTATTTAATAACCATATAATTAGAAGAAGCATTTTATTACAACAGCATTGACATATTCAATAACAATTTCCAGAGCTAAGATGCATCTCTTTCAAAATTGGCTATAAATTTTTAGGTTTACAGTTGAATTAATACAGTTATACAATATAGTACTCCGTATAAACCCCATAAGACTTAAAATTAAATGAGGTTTTAAACTTTAAAAGAGATCTCCATTTTGTTATTAAAATACACAGTTTCATACAGAAATTCATGTTTAATACAATTGACACTAAGATGCACATGCATTTCTAATCTCTATATATCTGATTATTACTAGTCACAGTTGGTTATACTTTCTGAGCTCCTTGGCATCTGAGCATGGATATAAAGTCATCAGGTAGATTTCAATGGTAATGTTTTTCACATCTAATTATTGAGCAAATTTTTATGCTTTGAAGAATTTTTTTTTCTTTTTTATTTATTCATACACCCATTTCCCAGGTAGCACCCTCCCATAGCCTCCCTCCCCCCACTAGAGCTCTGATACTCTGATAATCCCTACTACTGTCTTTTGTGTTATCGGCACCCCCAGCCATTCCCCACTACTTGCCCTTCTGGTGAATCTAGTCAGCCTATCTAGAGGTCTTTGTTTTACGCGGGTCAGCTGTTCTTCATCTAGCAGTATTCAGTTGTCAATATTCCTTTGGATAAGATTGGGGTCTGTTGTTCATTTTCTCAGTTCTATGCTGGGTTACTGTCTGGGAGTCTCTTGGGACACCCTGGTCAATAACTCAAAGGAAGGTACCTCC